ACTGTTAACTGATGGTACATGGAGGGGATTATAATCATTGTAATGAAACAAGGTATATGATTTATTGAATGTAAAACTGATGATCTGCCCTGTCAACTTTTACTCAATCCACAATAAAAATCTTAAATAAAAAAAAAGAAGATAATGGAATTTTTCCAAGAACTCTTTGTTGTTGTTGTTGTTGTTGTTGTTGTTAAGTGCCGTCGAGTCATTTCCGACCCATAGCGACCCTGTACAGGGTTTCCGAGGCTGTAAATCTACGGGAGCAGAATGCCTCATCCTTCTCCCGCGGAACAGCTGGTAGTTTCGAACTGCTAGCCTTCAGGTTCACAACCTGATTCGTAACCACTACGCTACCAGAGCTCCTTTGAAGCCCTCTCATATTTGTGGATGTAATCCTATTTGGGAATATGGTTTCTTTGGTATGCTAATGAGGCCACATCCATATAGGATATGTCTTGAGCTAATCACTTTTGAGAAGGATATGTCTTAAGCCAATCACTTGTGAGATAGAAAAGGAGTGGATTAAGCACATATGCAAACAAGAGTAAAAGGGGGAATGGAAGTGTCACATGCAGATTTCCAAGGAGCATGGAGAAGAAAGCTAGAGAGCTAATACAAAGACCTTCTAACAGAACAGACAGAGGAGAGAAGCTTCCCCTAGAGCCGGCACCCTGAATTCAAAATCCTAGCCTCCTAAACTGGTGTGGCACTGTGGGTTAATGTGCCAGACTACAAAGTCATTTGAACTGCAAGATTGGCGGTTCAAGCTCACTGGCTGCTCCTTGTTGTTGTTGTTGTCAGGTGCCATCGAGTCGGAACCGACTCATAGCGACCCCATGCACAGCAGAATGAAACAATGTCCAATCCTGGGCCAACCTCACTACCGCTGCCACACTTGACACCATCAATGATGCCACCTGGCTGATCCATCTCGTTGGGGGTCTTCCTCTTTTTCTCTGACCCTCCACCTTACCCAGCATGACATCCTTCTCCAGCGATTGTTTCCTCCGGCTGCTCCTTGGAAATCCCATAAAGGGTCGCTATGGGTCGGAACCAACTCGACGGCACTTAACAACAACAAACTGTGAAAAGGAGCTCTGGTGGATTACAAACGGAGCTGCTAACCTCAAGGTCAGCAGTTCAAATCTACTAGCCACTCTATGGGGGAAAGATGAGGCTTTCTGCTCCAGTAAAGGTTCACAGCCTCGGAAACCCTATACAGGGGTCGCTATGAGTTGGAACTAACTCCAAGACACATGCCCACCACTGCCAAGCTGTGAAAAAGTAAATTTCCGTTTGTTAAAACAACCTACTTGCAGCATTTTTGTCTTAGCAGCACTAAGAAACTAAGATACTGGCTTACATAAACTCAAAACCAGAGGGTTTAGAGCTCCCAAGAATAAGGAAAGAGAATCATTTATTGATTTGATATTTATCGTAGATTATGAACCAGGCAATAGGAGGGGTGGAAAAAGAAATCTGACAAAGGTCCTGTCCTGAAAAACTCATTCTACTAGGGGAAATACGTCCCAGACACAAATACCTATTCCCAGAGTGAACAGTGCCCTCAGAGGTTGGCACAGAAGAAGCCATAATCATGGTAGGTAGCAGCCCAGGAAAGCCTTGTCAAGGATGGGCATTTAGGTAAGAGCTACAGAAGGACGGCTCTGGGACCAGTGGTTACGAATTGGCCTGCTAACCTCAAAGTCAGCAGTTCCGCGGAAGAAAGATGAGGCTTTCTGTTCCCTCAGAAACTCTGTACAGGGTTACAATGAGTCATCAGAACCAACTCCACAGTACTTAACAACAACAACAGCAATGGAAGGACAGCAGGATACAGAGGTGTGCACCTAAGTTAGGAGAAGAAGCTTTCAAAGCAGCAGAAACATCTTGAATCAAAGGCATGGGTCAAGGAAAGCACAGATTATCATGAAATGTGTCACTTTGATTTCCTGAAATTTGGGATATGGCATGAGAGGGAATCATAGCAGAAAATGAGGTTAGAAATAGATCGAACATGAAAGGGACCTCCAGAAGATTCTGAAAGTCATTACAAAAAGCAAGGAAGATCAAGAGCCCTTTAAAATTCAGATCCAACAATTGAATGGATCCAAATGTGAGGTCAACAGGAGCATGAAAAGTCCTAACATAGCGAAGGGTTCCAAGAAGTGGGGCAAAGCGTAGGCACTCCTGGCTCTCAGAGCACCTGTTGCTTTTCCCTCTTCCTCCATCTTATCTCCAAAGCAAATTCATCTCATTCTGGTTGTTCCAAAGTTTGGTATCGTGGAACTAGGTAATCCAACGCAGTGGGCATGGGCAATGGGCTCTTGAGAAGGCAGACCTGGGTTCCAATCCCAGTTCCACCGCTATCAATTGAGTGATTTCAGGCAAGCCATTGGGAACCTCAATGTCCTCATCTATAAAATGATACCCACTTTGTAGCACTGTTATCCATCTTAATAGTTGTAGATGGTCTACACTGAGGAGTCTCCAGCTTGACCAGTGTAACTTCTAAGGTTGAGAGGTAAGGAAACAGAAGTCCAGCGAGAGAGAATAACATGTCTGGGGTTATAGCTTTACGGTTCTTTTCAAGACCCAGAGGTGAATTTGGAGTGAGATTTTTTTTCTGAGATTCTGTGACTCTCCCTTTAGATGGAAAGGAAATGCTATGTAATATCTGGCTTTTATATTCTGCCTTAATATGGCACTATTTATCATCTGAATTTCCTCCAGGTTCTTCATGCTTACCATGTCCCACACTGACCTCATAGTCTGTTTTCCAAACCCACCGTCTCCTGGGTTCTCCATCTAGGAAACAGCATGCCAGACCCTGGATGTTATCCTTGCCTTCTCCTTTCCCCTCATATCCCATAGTACATCAATCCCCAACTTCCATCTCTCTGGCCTCCTCACTGTTTCACAGACCCAACCTTAATTTTCACCCTCTCTCCCCAGGTCTGTCAAGTCAGCCTCCTTCCTCTCCTCTCCAATCTTCCCCCACTCAACTTCAGAGAGTATCTCTACACTCAGAACTGCCTCTTGCCCTGTCTGCCCAGCTCCTCAGCCTGGCATGTGAGGTTCGGGGTGATCTGGTACTGCCCATCTCACTGGCTTCAATTCCAACACACTCCCTTCATGCATTCTACACACCAGTTACATGGGCCTCCTGCTTTTGTTGTTGTGTGCTCTCCAACGGTATAGGGTTTCTGAGGTTATCCATCTTTGCAGGAACAAAGCCTCATCTTTCTCCCATAAGCCTCTCAAACTTGCTCCATGCAATGGGATTAAAATATGGACCTGAATAAAATCCTGACCCCTGTTACTAGCTGTATAACCTTGTGCAAGTCACTTCTCTTCTCTTTGGGCCCCATTTTCTTCATCTACAAAATTAGAGAAATGATCCTTGCAGTTAGGGATTAAGGGTAAGGGGCAAAAATGTATGCCAGCTGCCCAGCACAGTGCTTGGCCCCTACTGGATCTTAAGGAGCATTTGTTGCCTTCTCCCTTCTCACCTGCTGAAACCCTATCCATCAACTCTGCTATCACTAAGCCCATCGAACCATCTCCAGTTTCTCCAGGGGAGTGCTATCAACTCACGTCCACATTAGTAGGCAATGGACTTAAACCACCACCCTCTCAATCCACATCTTACAGAAGTGCCATGTTTTCCTCCAGAAAGTTAATGAGTTCCCTTCCACAAAGTGAGCCAGATTCTCCTACCAACTATCATCAGTTATTTAAGGATGTGACCTCACAAGAAATAGAATCATGTTAAGGAGAATGTCCATTCATTGGGTTTCTGCTGGGGACTAGGCACTGCCCACACATTGACTCTGAGTCTCACATTGCTCCTGCAAGGTATAGTCTTCATTTTTGCAGAGAGAGAAACAGAAGCTCAGAGAAGGAACTCCCCTAAGGTCACACAGCAAGGAAGAGTCCAAGCTGGTATTCAAACTCTGCTTTGTCCAATTCCAATCCAAAATCATTGCTTTTTCTATCAGAGCACAGGACATGCTAGCTACAGTGGAGGTGGAGGCATGGAGCTGAGAAAACACTACATACTGCCACTATGCCTCCTGGGAGTTCTTACCTAAGTGGATGTTTTCCCTATAAAATTCTTCTGACAGCAAAAATGACCCTCCCTTTCCATATTCCCATAGAGCCCCAGCAATTTTCCCTACTAGTTCTCTATCACACCCCCATCTTACTAAGTCCGCATTATTGCTTCTTCAAGTTCACATTTAAATACCACCACTTCCTTAAATATATCCCACCTGGATTTACGGACCATCTGAAGAACAGATTTGATACATTAAACACTAAAGACTGAAGACCAGAAGAGCTGTGGGATGACATCAAGAACATCATACATGAAGAAAGCAAAAAGTCATT